CTGTAAAAAAAAAAAAAAAAAAAAAAAAGATCTTGGCATTGGATGTGAAACATGTACAATACCATACTGAAAATGGAAGTCGTACCTTAAGAGAGGCCGGTTAAATTCAAGGAACGGAAATGAGAGTGAGAGAGAGAGAGAGAACTAAAAAAAAAGGGATAAATAGATACTTGGACTAATCGATGGAAAAACTATTGGAGGCCAGGGAATTTTTTTTGTTTTTTTTTTCTGTAAGACTGAGAGAACTAGGTGTGTGGTTCATCAATTTTCTGTGAGCAATTTATATTTTATCACTAAAAAGTGTGCCTTCCCACAACACGATCACGACACATCACACTTTTGGCCCAACACAACAGGACGCCAATTCGTGATGCCGTTTTGCGGATCAACACCATTACATTAGATGTAAATTAAAAATAAAAATATATATTTCCTAAAGAAACCTCAAATCTAATGCCTTTCTTCCTCTTGTTCTTCTTTCTTTTTCTCTACAAGCGCGTGTCTCCCTTGTTCTCCCAAATTCTTCTCGTCTCTTCAGTCCAAAAATTCCCTCTTTCTCATTCATTCATACAGAGGAGTTGATTTAACTGTAAATTTTTTTGTAAGGGTTGGGTTCGTTTAATTTGAGTTTGATTATAGGAGTGAATGATGCAAAATTAAAATAACTTGTTACAATAATAGGTACGTGTGGGAATAACCTAGGTGTCTATGGTTGTTCTATATTGTCAGTCCATACTTGCGGGATTGAACATTAGGGATTGTCAAAAACTGTTAATCATATGGTAAGAGAAGAAATACTTTTTGATTGGGAAATACATAGCTTGATGAATATGAAAAGAAGAGCTTCAGAGTTAAATTTGGCATTTGTTTAATTAAGGAATATTTTTTTTTATCTTTTTTAATTCTTTTGAAATTGAGTTTTTATTTTAGGTTGGTGTGTCAACTTTAAATCCGTTAGATTAAATTTAAATGAGGTGGAGTGCGAATGGAAAAAGTCAGATAGATCCTAGTAGAGAAAATCAAAGTAAAGAATCTAGATGCCTAATTTAGAAGCATAAGGAGGACTAAATGTATGTGCTTACAATTCACATGGTGCACATAGTATATTGGTGTTTCATGAGAATAAAAGCTTCACGTGTCTAATTTTGAAAACCATGTTTGATTGTTTAAGCATGTGTTTGTTTTTTTTTGGCCATGTGTTTCAAATTAGGAGCAAATATATGTGTGTTAGAAATACATGTTAGTTGCAAGGTATTTATAGCTTAAGTGGTTAAGAGTAGTTATCCATGCACCTGAGGTCTTGTATGTGTTCGAAGCCTCTAATATCGCTTGTATTAAAAAAAAAAATAATAATAATAAATAAAAAAAAAAAATA